AATGAAGGTGAATAAGAAGAACGAAAGGAAGCATCAGCACTTTCGATTCAAAGTGAACGAAAGGAAGCATCGGCACTTTCGATTCAAGAAGAACGAAAGGAAGCATCGGCACTTTCGATTCAAAGTGAACGGAAGGAAGCATCCGCACTTTCGATTCAAGAAGAACGAAAGGAAGCATCGGCACTTTCGATTCAAAGTGAACGGAAGGAAGCATCCGCACTTTCGATTCAATTGTTCATCTTTTCATCAAGAAGGTTTAGAAAGTAGGAGGAATGTTAACTGTTAAAGAACATGCACGTGTATTGCTGTTAAAGAAATATGCACATGTATTAAGCAGTTAGTCTGTTAAGTGGTTAGCTGGAGTTGTTAGGCAGTTAGAGGAAAGATGATGAGCATTGTATCTCTTATAAATTGGTGTACTTGTTGATATGAAAGATCATCCTTTTCCTGTGTAAATACACCATTGAAATTAGTTTTCTAATAGCATGTGACAATAGAATGGCCCTTCACAAAAAGGTAGCCATGCATTTTAGTTAGGGCAAACTACACTAATGGCCATGTAAATGGCAAACCTTATCACCTCCACTCAATATCCATGACGTTTCAAAAAGAAAAAGAAAATAAGTTGGGTGAAGTACATTAGAGGTCACTAAACTATATCCTTAAACGATTTTTTGATCATTGAACTTTTAAATATTTTAACATAGCCATTAAATTTATCCAACTATTACATATAGTCACTAAATTATGGATTTATTATAAAATTGTCATTAAATTTATCAAAGTTTTTATTCTTAGGGTAAACTACCTATTTGGTCACCCAACTATTATTTTTTTAAAAAAATCATACCTAAGTTATGTTTTGATCACCCGTCGTTAAAAAATTAAAGGTGAAGTTGAAGTGGTATTTTTTTTATTTATTTATCAATGTTGAGGTGACATTTCCTTATAGTGACATGTTAGCATCACTATTAATTTTTTAATGACGAGTGACCAAAACGTAGCGTTATGTATGATTTTGAAAAGAAATAAATTAGTTGAGTGGCCAAAGCAGAAACTGGATAATAGGTGGGTGACCAAATAGGAAGTTTACCCTTATTATTATTATTATCATAATGTCATGTTGATTATTTTATAATTTTTGAAAAATCAATAACTAAAACGATTATTTGGGTATAGTTAAGTGACCTCTAGTATATTTTACCCAAATAATCTATGTGCCCATTTTCCTCCATGGACCATGGTGAAAGGAAATCCGATACTAGGTGACGATTCTTCACCGGGACAATTGTATCCCACTCTTGGATCTACTCTCAGTTAACTTGGATATATATATATATATTATTTCCCATTGATCGAGGGAATCCATGACCCCAAAAGGAACAGCTCACATATCTTAATTCTAAACTCAAAATAAATAAATATCTTAAATTTTAAATTAAAATAAGTACTCATTCATAATATATACACAATATTATTCATACCTGACGTAATTATCTGCTAAAACAATCTCTAAATCTTAAGATTATAAACCCTAAATTATAAATCCTAATATTAATTTATGAACATGATATCAACATGTTACTACTTGAAAATTAAGAAAAATGTTATCCCGTTTTATTTTCTCGATTAAACAAATGAGTTTGAATAATTTACATTAAACAAACGAGCTCGAATAATTTACGTTAAACAAGCTAATAAGATTGTAGCATTAAATTGTAGTCATTATATAGTATATCAGTCGTATCATAATAATTCTTTTTTAATAGTTTGAGGATTATAAGATAATATATGTTCATAATAGTTTGAGTATAACGTATATACAACAGAGAGATCTAGGCAACGGTGGGTGGGTGCAGATGTCCCCTACTAAAATTTTAAAATTATCATTTGTTTCAGATTTTTTTTCTATAAATTTTTTATTAAAAATAAGTTTTCACTCCCCTAAAATTTTTATAAATTTAAATTCCCTCATGAACTTTTTGAGAAACAAATCACAAACGTAACGTTTGCCTATAGGTACCCTATAGCCTTTTTAGGAGAATGGCATAAAGTGGGGGAATCCTAAGTTATAAGCCCAAAAGCCGAAGTTTCATTTCTGTGGTCTGTGAAGGGTGCAGTTCTCCAGAATGTAAAAAAAAAAAGCTCGTGGGGTTCCCTGTAGAAGTACCTATCGGTCCCCATTTGGCCTAAAGAGTTCAAAAGCTGGAATGATATGCTGAATATAGGTGTTTGATTTTGATGCTCAGTTAAATACCCATTCTTCTCCACTCCATTGGCTTCTTTAAACTAAAGAGAAATGTCCCCATCTAAGCCCTCACAGTCACTTAACTATACAAAGTGAAAGCAAGTCTGCATATCAACTATTCATCATCATGCCATCTCTCTCTCTCTCTCTCTATATATATATATATATATGTATATGTATATGTATGTTTGTACGTGTCTACCTATATCATAAACACATACCTCAATATCCATGTTTTGTCTCTCTGATGTTTTGAACATGGACCGCATGTACATATAATCCATTTTGCAGTTTTCGTTCAGTACTTTTCTTTTATAAAGTCTGCAATAATTTCGGTAGTTTCATAGATATTTGTGCTGACAGCAGCATGTGTTTGCATAGAATGCAGCAGAGAGTAAAGGGCTATAAAAGATTAATAGTTGTTTTGTTTTGGTGGAGAAGGCCATGGCTTTTGGCTTTAGTTTCCAACCCATCACTTATTTTTACTCTCTTCGGATGCCATTAAAGGGATGGATGGATGGTCTCGAGGGAGCGTGGGTACTAGTCCTCGTGTTGTTCTTTAATAGTTTTTGCCTTTTGTCATAGGGCATATGGACCTCTCCTTGAAAGAGTAAAGGGTCTTCTATTTCAACATCAACACTCAACAACTTCCCTTTATGTACATGTATATATGCTTAAGAGTGGTTTATCTCAAGATCCATATTGGGGAGCATGCATGCATGCATGTATAATTTCAGACGTACATATGCATTTCATAGTTCATTTACATGCATGCATATGGACCTCTCTATTTGCAAGAGTGGAGAAAAAAAGGGTCTTCTATTTAATCATCAACGTTTAAGGATTTTCCTTTGCCCTCCTATTCGTATCACTCTTTTATGTGCATTGTTTTTCCTAGAGGTTCCGAGTTCAAACAGTTGTATCTACAAGTGTGTGCATTGTCAATGACTAAGAAAGATAATAAACAAATATTACATTGTAATCACTCCACACTAATTAAATAAAATGTACTTTTAAGAGTGGTTTATCTCAAGACCCATGTTGGGGAGAATGCATGCATGTATAGTTTCAGACATACATGCATACATGAAATTTTAATGTTTATGCAGATAACTTTTGGTCTGACAAGTTCACATGATGCAATGTCAGGTGTCAATGAGAATATCTAAAATGAGAAAAGAAATATCATAATTTTCAAGTGCAATCCAACTCAAAATCCCACCTCGGAAAATATTTTTTTTAACTTAACGACAAAGTGAAAAGAGGGTGTGGGCATGCAGGAACAATGATGAATCTAATGTTTGTGATTAACTGTAACTGAAAATTTAAAATTATTATATATTTTAGATTTTTATGTATTTTTTATTAAAAATATATTTTTGTTCCCTCTGAAATTTTATAAATTTAAGTTCACCTCTATCTAACATAAAATCTTGTGTCCGTCATGATCATATTCATATGCAATAGGCCTTCTGATAGTTAAGCTGAAGCATATAAAGCACTGGTGAAAGCAAGTCTGAATCATCTTTATCTTTTTGCACTACTTCGGTTGTTGATCTTGATCAGTTGCTGTCTAGAAAAGTCAAAGTGTTTTTAATTAGGGTAAAACACATTAGATCACTCAATTGTTAGTTCAATTATTGAAAGAATCATTTTTCTAAAAATTTATAAATTATTCATTCAATTAATCCTAATTATAAATTAATCATTTAGTTATTTTGTCGTAAGATTGAAACACACGTCTAATTTGACATGATACAATAATAATTTTAGTCCCTAAAACTTATACATTCAATCAATTTAATCTTAATTTAAAACAATTCATTAAATTGAACCCTTTATATCTATAAATCCTATCAATTTAATCTTTTTTACAATATTATCATATCGAGTCCATCGGATCAAAACGATTATATAATTGTATTCTACCGTAAAGCAACAAGCTACTGTTAAAATATTGTTATGCTAGGAAAGTAATATTGTATTTATGAGAGAGAACAACAATTCAGGAAAAAAAAAAACAAAGATTAAATTAGTATATTTTTAAAATATAAATGATTAATTTTATTAAATTATTTTAAATTAAGACCGAGTTAATAAAATATATAAGATTTAAAGAAAAACTATTGTTATACTAAATTACATCACTATTTTCTCTAATATTTAACCACCGAGGACATATTTATAATAATATTTTAGTAGAGTGACTAAATTATAACTATTAGAAAAAAAAGTGACTTGTTTATAACCGTACTAACAATTGAGCGATCTTGGATGTATTTTTTTTAAAAATATACGTGACAAATAATTATATACTTAATTGAAAAATCAATATCATATAAAGAATACTTATTTAGTTAATGACGATTTTACTATATTCTTAATGGCATTTCCTTGGTTAATGTTGGGAAGAAAATGGTTGAGGATACCTCCAGAAGGGTATATTCATCAACTACATTTTCTGGGAAGGTCCAAGAAGACCCTCTTCCCAAATTCCAATAAGATACCGGAAACACTTTTTTCCGGCAGAAGATAATACTGGTTTCCATTTTTCACTATTCCTGATATTATGTTCTTTTCAACATGCCGGGAGTTCGGAAACTGCATATGCTTGCCAAGGCAATGAGAGAGGTTTTCGAAGGTTGCTATAATGATGACCTATGGTATTCAGACATGACCAAAGGAGAAAATGGTTTCCAACACCATTAATGCAAATTAGTAGTTACCAAAACAGCTTTACCAGACTCGAGAGTAAAAACTTCGGTTACATGCAACACACACTACCGATCAAATTCCTCCTATTACCTTTCAGAAAAGAGAAATGTTATGATAAGCCTGAAATGCATATACCTAGAGCAGCTGGGAATGAGTTATAAAGAAAAATTTTGAATAAACCAAAACGATAACCCAACTTCCCCCTACTTGTACTGGCTTCATTACCAACCAGATCATCCAAAAAAGGTAGATGTTGCATTCTATTAGGACTAACAATTCAGTAATCAGGCATTTGTTTACGTTCTTTCAATAAAATAAGAAAATCTGAGGCCAAAGAACTACCACGATAATACCAAGCATAACACATTTTGCTTTCTCTGACCTTCGAACAGCACAAATGAGAGTTCTTCACTGGCTAGTACCACGAGTTTGCATTCTCTTCCTTTCAAGCTCCAGCTGGAAAAGGAAATTAACTTAAATAGATGATATATAAAAATTATATTACTGGGGGGGAAAACATATTCAGGTCCTTTTGAGCTTCTTACCACTTTTTTCACACGTTCATTGGCTGCAGGAGTTCCTCCACTAACACACTCAGGGAGATATGGACTGCTTACACGCACCTCATTCATTACAACAATGGAGGTCTTGTCCCAGCGAACAGGAAGCCTGCTCATATGCATTTGTGTTAACAAAAATATTTGTAAGTTTTTGGTGTAATTATCCAGAGCAACAAACGGATGAACTTCAAAGAAGCCCATGGAGATACCAATTAGTACTTCCATTCTTCCAAAATTTAGTCGGTAGCCATAGAGCCAGTCTTCAAGATGAATCTTAAAATATTTCTACCTTTTGGTGGGGAGATGAAAACGAGGAAAACCAAAGAACAATACTTCCCGGATCATCTTGATATGTCCAAGGAAAAAGGAAGAAAAGAAGAAAAAGCTGAACTTAGGTTAACATCTTTGGGAGAAAAAATGAGCATATGCTTATGTCACAGTCCATGCATGAGAACTGAGGACTGTGCATGTACATGTAATCATAGTGGCAGCAATGCATGCAAGGGAGGCTGGCCAAGTGGATCTGGAAGCCTCCAAGGCACTCTAAGTAGTTTTGGAAGGGCTGGCAGGATTTGGAAGCCTCCACAGTTCTCTTTTGAGATAGACCAGGTAGAAACTAATCAATTTTTTTAGTATAGAGTATAGACTTGATCCCAACCTTACTGGACCAGTGGCACTTGGAATGAACAAACAATGAGAATGTATTCTATTTCTGACTCAAGCTCCAACTTCAGCTATGTTCCAAACAAAAATGAGAGGTATTTCATTCATTCTTTATATGGTTGTTCTATCATCACTAAACTTCCATCGGTGTTTCAGAAAGAACTAGAAGAAAATTCACTTGTGGCTTTTGGATGCAGAGATTTTCAGAAAGCAACCAAGAGATTCTACGAAAAATCAAGAAAAGAAGGTTTTGGTTATGGTTTCAAAGGGACCCTACACTCACTTACAATATTAGCCATAGGATACATCTGGAGCATGTATCATAGCCGTTCACTTATAATATAAGCCATAGGATCTAAGGGGTTTGGCCTTCAAATAGGAGCCAGAAGGCACCCTACCCTCATTTGTAAATTGATTAATCATTGGTGTAACATGGCAAGCTCCATCAGTACAAGCCTATAGCATTCTTCTACACTCTCTCTTAACATATTAACTCTCGTATTTGACTTGCTTGAGTGAGTGCCTAAAGGCTTGCTAGTGCATGTAGAGCGTTTGATTGATGAACTTAGGGATACTAAGGAGTAAGTTGGAAGGTGCAGGCCTAAAGTCTGACAATAACAGGGCTAAAGTCCCAACACATTACACAAAAGCCTATCTCAATTATAGATTCCAATGGTTTTATAATTACAAAAGGTCGATAACTACTAAGGCTTTGGGTATGATTGTGACAAAATCTCAAAAATATTAATGCATAGTAAAAAACTTCATACTCTAAACCTATTGCGGGGCCGTTTCCCCTCTGTCTCTGTTATGTCTTCATCCTCAATCCTCTTGAATTAGCTAAGATGCACTATACATTCATAGTTTATTCATCGACTAGGGGGCACCTTTAATAATATACACATTAATAAAAGCTAAAAGAAAAAGGCTCATTTAACATTGTTCATTTTGATGTCAAATACACGAACTCCCTTTAGTTACAACATACATCATAACCTATTAGAAATCATCTCACTTAGAGGCACCTAGCATTATACTTCTCCTAAGAAGAACATTTATCATTTCCGCAAGTGAATACTATGGCAGACTATCAAACAGTAAGCACAATGTGGCGAGACACAACTAATGGGTCTCTTATTTCTACCATCCTGCATTATAAATCATTCATCTTTGCTTTTACCCTCACTCGAGAATCGCTGCGTGTACCTACACTCCCGCCCCACAATTACAACCAAATTTCTGTCTCCCTGCTAATCCTAAGCTTTATCATTAACAAGATAACCTTAGCGTGCAACAACTAGCCAACGTTAAGCTTTCAAGAGGATCACATATATGATATATCCCTTAAAACAATATAGAATGAATTTGCTATCTGTATACTAGAGAAATATAACTACGATCTAAACAATCCCTTCGGGAAAAAAATTTAAAGAAGAAATTAACATACGTTTTAGACAAGGCATCAAAAAGGTTCTGTGCCTCACTGGTAACTCCAACACCAAACCTCTCAGAATCGGCCTCGGCTTGTCTGCAAATGAATAAGCTCACTGAAATTGAATCAGACAAAGGAAAACCCTAAAATACGGGATAAAAACGAAATACCTAACAGCAGAATCTTCCCTTGCTTGAAGGCTAGTGAGGTCCAAAAAGCATTTCTTGACATCAAGTGGATCTTCGTCTTGACGCAACAAAGAGAACTCTTTGATGTAATTAGCCTTGAGCAATCGAATGTTCCTTCTGGGTCCTGATTCCAAACCCTCTTGAAGGAGGAGGATGTTGGAGAGGCGGTCGTAACTTATGATTTGACCTTCGAATTCGTCGCCCAAAGTCGTCTTGATTGAAAGCAAGCAACCCACTGCGAATTCCTCACCTTCCATCCCTTTGATTCAACTCCCTCTGCTCACCGCTACTCTTTCTTCTTCTTATTTTGCAAATTTCATTCCAATTTTTGAACTTTTTGCTCTTTTATTTGAAGACCAACACAAGTCAACAAAACAGACGGGCCTAACTTTATAGTTTGATTTGCATTAGGCCTTTTACATTAAAAGGCGACCCGAATCGGATTTATAACACGAGCCAACTTACCTCGTTGTTAAATGAATTATTGTATAGAGGTCACGAGTTCGAATATCAACGACTCTAACTGAATAATTGAGTGCTCATTATCAAATAATTGAAAGTAGATCAAAAACATATATTCGATTCGAAAGGATAAAAAGTAGCAACTGAAAGGAGCAAATAATTGAGGTCACCAATACTTATTTGAGCAATTTAAGGTTGGCTTAGATGTTCTATAGATGAAGAAGTAGATCGAAAACATATATTCGATTCGAAAAACTCGAATTACAATAAGTTTAGACGGATAAAAAGTAGCAACTGAAAGTATAAAAAGTTGCATCTACACGATTTATATTAACGATAAAAAAATTATGAATAAATATTATTTTCTAATCATCAAATACTATTAAAAACAACATTATGTGATGATCAAATATTTCTTGAAAATGCATTGTTTAGTCATATCGAGATTTTGTATATCTTTATAGTCAAACCTAACATAGATGTCTCACCTAAAATGAACCTATTGTGATTTGTGATTTGTGATTTGTGATTTGTGATTTGTGATTTGTGATTTGAAGTGTCATCTGTTCAATGAGACAGAATTTCAATAATTTAATAATTCGATTACAAATATTTTGAATATTTAAAAATATTAATTCATGAAATAAACGAATTTATATTTAATGAGGTTTAAATCCATATATTAAGGGTGTGTTTGGTTCACGGAATGTAAGATTATTAGTGGGAATATGATTACCGACGGGAATAAGATTACTGTGAATGTTGTATTTTATGTTTGATTAGTTTAACAGAAATGTAAGATTACAATGTTTGGTTACAGAAATAAAAGATTATTGGAATGTATATTTTACCAACTTGTCCTTATTATATATTTGTTTTTTTAACAAGTTGAATTCTACTATAGTATTATTATAATTAATTTGTATATTTTCTTTAAAAATTTTAAATTCATAAAAATTTATATACTTTTTATAAAATTGAAAAGATAAATAAGTTTAATGAAAGGGTAAAATTTTATTTTAACCCCTGAACTTCATATAGAATTCTAATTATGAACTTTTTTTTGTAAATCTAAAGTAGTTTAAGGATAAATTTGTAATTTAACATTCGTAGAATTTTTATTATTCAACGACAAAAGAATTGTATTTTTGAAAAAAAATTAAGGGCATTTTAGTCCGAAACGCCGGTAATCTAACAATACCTAAGGGAAGAGGTAATCACATTCTCGGTAATATACCCTAAAAATACCACTGTTTGAAATAAAAAATTACCAGAAAATATGATTACTGATCAACCAAAAGGAAAAATAACATTCTATTATCTCGATAATCACATATTAACTTAACCAAACACCCCTAAGACATTTGAAACATTTAATGAATAATGTGGTACGACTATCTTGTAAATTTCTTTTTTCTATTTGGTCGTGTAATCATTGCAATCCCAGAACAAGAGAATAAATGTTGGACATTGTTGTTGAGGTGTTCCATGACAATGGATTATCATAAATGCCAGGGACTAGTCATGACGATCTTTTTTAAAAATTTAAAATTATTAAATATTTATATATTTTTATTAAAATTTTATTTATATATTTAAAATTTTATAAATTTAAGATTATTTCTTAAAATTTTAAAAATTCAAAAATAATTTACTATCATAAAATCTTACGTAGATCCTTGTGGACTATTCTCCACCTACACGATGAGAACTATTTTTCTACTTTAGCGACTTATTAATTAAGCCCCAACCGAGTTCTCATGCACTTCAATGTCATGGTTTTCACTTTTCACTAAGCCGTGGAAGTAGAGGAGCAAGTATCTATTTTCAAATATTATTTATAATTTTTAACAAAAATATTATGTATAATTTTAAACATGATAACATACGATATAGAAAATAATTAAAATGCAGGGTAAGGTACATAAATGGTCGTCAGTTTCAGTAAAAAATTGACGGCAATCTGAATTGTTAACATGTTAACTATGATATGATAGTATTCTGGGATCATGTTTTATCATATATCAGTTAGTACATTAATGTCAAACTCAAAATGCCATCAATTTTTTAACGAAAAATGACAAATTTAGAACATATGAAATAGTCGGGTGACTATTTTGTAACTTGTTGAAAGAAAAATAATTTTCAACAAAAGCACATTTAGGTCAAGGTATTTTAAATATATCATAAAAATATTACTTGAACAAAAAAAAATATTATGATGAACTAAATAATGATAAAAGCTTTTAATTTTAAAACATGTTCATCATAACACATTTTCAACATACATGAGATAACAAACAACATGTAATCATTCATGCTCAATACTCATGAATGCATAAAAATAAATAGGCAACCAACATACAAAATCAATAAACTTTAAGTTTAGAGGTTATCCATCCTTACCTTTTGTGATTAGAGCATTCAAAATTTTTACCTTTATCATCATTGTTCCAACACACCTACAAGAGACATTTATTTTGTTTTTGGTACCCAAATTGCTTTGAGTCCTCAAATATTAGTTTCAATGTCTCTAATTCCCTTAGGAACACATATTTGTCTAATTTTGAAATGTTTTCTATTTTTAATAGGAGAAGTATGTATATCATGACCATGATAACGATAATGTGAGCATTTTGCCATTATTAAGCTAGATGAATTATTTGAAATGATTTCTTTTTCTTTTATTAAGCATTCAAGTTTAACTTTTAAATCAAATTTTTTCTTCAAAATTTTCAAATTTTACTTTTTTTTAAAATTTTATTTTGATTTTCAAAATTCAATTTTGCTTTCAAAAGAAAATCATTTTCAACTTTAAATTTTGAAATCAATTTCTTGTATTTGGAGTTCATGGTCTCAAACACCAAAAACAATTCATCGTATGCAACTTGTAACTCATTAAAAGAATATGAATTTAATTCATTTGAGTTAAAAGATACATCTTGCTCTTCAAGAGCCATAAAACACACCACCTTTGGATTAAGGAGATTTGAAATTGATGGTTCTTCTTTCTTATCACTGTGAAATTCTTCAAGCTTATTCCATAGCTCATTGGCATTAGAACACGAAAAAACTCCTTCATATACATCGAGACCAGATGCACAAAATAAAATGTGCACGGCCATAGCGTTTTGTTAACATTTTTTCCGTTCTTGGTCACTTTATCTTCTTCGTTGGAGAAGAATAATCATTCGTGATCATCTCCCATGCTCCAAGATCAATGGATTGAATAAATAGCTTCATTAAGTTCTCCCAATTACCATAGTTGGCTCTATTGAAGTATGGAGGCTTGTTGATCGGTTGAGAGTCCTCCATGTAGAATGAGCCAAAAGTGGAAACCATCTTCTTGGTTGAATAGAAAATCGATAGAGCGCTTCTAGGATCTTCACAAGGTTGTTAAACTATCGATTGTGACCCACTTTGTTACCAATTTTTGAGCTCGATCGGTCAACCGAAAATCGCCAAGAGGGAGTGAATTGACCTTTAAAAATATTTGGTGTAGAAGCAATGAAAGATAAGAATTAGACACAAGATTTATAGTGGTTCAACTTTCTCAACCCAAGTCTACATCCACTACTTTAGCTTCACACTAAGGATTTTCTAACAAATTCACTAATTTGTTCTTTCTTTTTCTAGGCTCAAGAGTAATCTTTACAATTCTCTAGTTTTTCAAGGCTAAACTAGAACCACTCCCGTTTTCAACAAAAGATAACTTGTGTAAACAAGAAGACCTCTCTACGTAGGTGTTTACAAGGATTAAGCTCATAAGAATAGATACAAAAGATATGAAATTAAGCTCTATACACTTATATACAAGAGAAAAATGAAGGAAATAAGAATGAAGATTATTTTCTCTTGATCTCTAAGCTTGGATATGTGTAATAACCTTCTTCAAGTATCCTTGGAGTGTTTTTATTGTGTGGAATGAGTTGCTAGTTGTTTATGACCGTTGCAGATGAATTATAGCCTTTTGCAGCTTTAAAATTACGTAATTAAGGCCACCTGCACATGAAGTTTAAAAACTTTGGAGTAAGTTTCGAAACTTTGATGCAAGTTTCAAAACTATTGTTAAAGTATCGAAACTTTTAAACACACTATTTTTTAGAGTTTCAAAACTTTCAACTTTTAAACACACTATTTTTTAAAGTTTCAAAACTTTGATGAAAGTTTTGAAACTCTTACTTAAAAATATGACCATTAAAGAAAATCGGGTCGTTAAAACAATTTCAGGGGGCAAAATTTTGAAACATTATCAAAAGTTTTGAAACTTGAACAATACCCGTGTATAAGCAGTTCCAAACAGTAATTGAATAGTATTTTTTCATATTTTAAAAGCTTTAAACATGTTTTAAACACTTTAAACGTATTTTAATTAACTTAAAAATATTTATTATATATAAAACAATTTAAAACACATATTTTTCAAGTTATTTTGAACTTTAAATTATTTTTTAAATATTTGATTAAGTCCAAAATCAATTTTATAAATATTTGTTATATCAAAATATAAGTTCAACAATGTTATTTCTTAAAAGTTATAATTTAGTTATCTAATTAAAATGTTGTTACAAATATGTCATTAGTCGTTAAAATTGAAACAATCATCTAATGAGATTTGGTATAATATTATTTTAAGTCCTCAAAACTTATATATTCTATGAATTTGGTCTTAATTCAAAACAATTAAATAAATTCAACTCTTCCTATTTAAAAATGATATCAATTTAACACTTTTTATCATACCATCAAATTAAATGAGTTTGTTAAATTAAATCAGAAGTTGGATAATTGTATTCTGTCAATAAATTAATGTTAAATTATTATTATACTAGAAAATTAACATGGAAGTGATATAACATTTCTAGGAGAATAACAAGAAATTTAGGAGAAAGAACACATATCAAATTAAATATAACTTTTAAATACGAAGAGCTAAATTTATTGAATTATTTCGAATTAGGATTGAAATGATAAAACATATAAGTTTTAAGAACTAAAATTGTTATTATGCTAGACTCTATCACTTTTCCTTCTAATATTTTACATAAGTGACATGTTTATGACTAAATTGTAATGTTTAGAAAAAACAAGACTCGTTTGTTATCTAGCGCATAATTGAGTGACTTGATATTATTTTATCCAATAATAAATGATGACTAAATGAGTTCAACCGAAAGATGGGTAAATTACACGTTTAGTACATAAATTATCAGTTTTGATCTATTTTAGTACCTAAACTTTCATTTTTTTAAAAACCATACCTAACGTTTAATTTTCATTTCATTTTAATACACTGTCGTTAAAAGCTTAACGTGTTTAGTATCTAAACTTTCATTTTTTTAAAAAAATTTAACGTTAAATTTTGAACGGGGTACTAAAATGAAACAAAAACTAAAGTTTTTACGGCACAATACTAAAATGAAACAAAAACTAAATTTTAGATATGATTTTGAAAAAATTGAAAGTTTAGATACTAAAATGAATTAAAATTGATAGTTTAATTACTAGAAACATAATTTACCCAAGAAAGATTTGTCAAAGAGTTTAGAAGATGGCCGGCCTCATCTGCAAATCTACCACACCGACTTAGCCATTAATGAATCCCACCACGGAACCATTGCCCATTGTCGTCCCTAGTTAATGTTTTCACCAACTAGCTCTCAAATTGTATCCACGAAAGGGCAAAACCAATGGGTCCTCATCGTCAACCTTGCTAACTGCGTGCTTCTGCCTTTTCTTACTTTCCGTCAACTGGCAGTTGAAGCGGTACCCAGCAAATTCAATGCCCCTATCCTCCACTTCTATATAAACTTGTCCTATGCTGCTGAAATGTAAGTCAAGCATTAAAGTTTCTCTGTTGTTGTTTTTTTCTTTATCATTTATTTACAACTAATTTCCATAGCAATGGCGTGCAAGGGGCAGCTTGAAGTGGAGGTGGAGCTCAAGTCTCCGGCAGAGAAGGTGTGGGGTATCATTAGGGACTGCACCACAATTTTCCCTAAAGCCTTGTCCCATGATTACAAGAGCATCGAAGTGCTCGAGGGCGACGGCAAGGCCCCCGGATCCATCCGCCTCATCAATTATGCCGAAGGTAAGAATGATATTACATGCATGCATGTAATATTAAAATAATATTTAAAGATTTCTCGATTAAATGATTCCTAATATTCGATTAAATAATCTTTATTTTTTATTTTTTTATTTTTTCTTGTCACTGATGTTTCATTTCAGAGCAAAAACTCCTATTTTGAGTGATAATTATTTGTTGTTATTAATTTGTTAACTAATAAATTCCATCTATAGAGGTTCTTTTTGTTTAAAAATGAAACGATAATAATTAAAATGTTCCAAAAAAATGAATAGAGACAAAGTGATTATTTAGTTAAATGTCAAAGTATTTTTTAAGCAAAATGCAAAATGCAAAAAAAAAAAAACTCTAACGTTTGACTAAATAATTGATATCTATTTTTTGAGTATTTTGATTTTAATATTTTATTTTAGGATAAAATTTTTAAAACGTTACCATTTGTTAACTGATGATTTTAATCTAACGAGAGGCATTTTTGCACTAAAATCAAACATCGAGAGTCAAAATGTTTTAAAAATAATAACAAGGATCAAAATTACTAGCTAATCAAATGTTAGATGATCATTTGTCATTATGCCTTTTTTGGTATTAGGCATAATTTTAAAAACAACCTTCAACATTTATCAAAATGATCATTTTGTCCCCTATTCTATTTTTTGGAACATTTTGACCCTAACGTTTTATTGTAGTACAATAAGACTCCTAACATTTAACAAAATAGTCACTTTATTCTTTTTTTTAGAGCCTTTTAGACCTCAACATTTCATTTTAAGTTAAAACGATCCCTATTTTAGAACTTTAATCATGTGTTAACTAATAGTTTACATTTATATAGAGATATTTTGTCTCAAAATGAAACGTTAGGGGTTATTTTTGGTATTACACCACAAATTAAATATTCAGCGAGTAATTTTTTCTTTTAATAGGATCTCCGATCGTGAAAGTGTCGAAGGAGAAGATTGAGTCGGTTGACGAAACGGGGAAGATCTATGTTTACAGCATCTTCGATGGGGATCTGATGAAATTCTACAAGAGTTTCATCGCCAAGATCGTGGTGGCTCCCAAAGGAGAGTCGAGCTTGGTGAAATGGTCTTGCGACTACGAGAAGGCGAGCGAGGAGATCCCGGACCCCAGCCTCATCAAGGAATTCGCCGTCAAGAACTTTGTGGAGATCGATGACTTTCTTCACAAGGCATAGTAGCCTATTACTGAATAATATGCGGGGTTTTCTGCTGCTGAATATCGGCAGATTAAATACTATTTATTTAGTCTGTTATTTCCGGAGTTTCATTGCCACTGTATCATTAGAATAAAATACTATTATTATGTTGTCGTATTGGATTATCTTTTTATTATTTCTAGAAATATTTTCTTATTTTTATAATAAATTATTTTAAGTTATTAAAATTTGTATGGCTCGTAATTATTATTTATTTTATATGAGTAAAATATAACTCATTTAATTATTATTTATATTTGTGTAATAATAAATTTAATTATGTGATTTAGTATCTAAATTATTAATTTTGGTCCTTTTTAATACTTAAACTTTCAATTTTTTTTTCAAAACCATACGCAGTTGTTTCATTTTCGTATTTCATCGTTAAAACTTTAACGACATTGTATTTTTATGGGTAAATTAATCATTCAACAGTCAACTATTTTCTCATTCCTATTTTGGTACTAAAGTTTAAAAATTTTCAATTTAACTACTCAACTTTCAAATTTCTCCTAGGAGTGTTCAATCGGTCAGTTCGGTTAACCGACCAAATCGAACTTCTAAAAATTCATTAACTAATTTTTTTTCGCTTTAACCGTTAACTGAACCAAACTTTTTTTTCGAAAATAATTAACCGAACCGAACAAAGTTCGGTTAATCGATCGATTAACTGAATTAACTGAAATTTTAATTAATATATATATTATATGTTAAATATTTAATATTTTTGGTTAATTCGGTTAAAACCGAAATTTAAACACTCCTAAAGCTATTAATATATAAATAATATATTAAATATTTAAAGATTTAGGTTGATTTAACCGATTTCGAACTGCATTAACTAATAACCGAACTAAAAAATCATTAACCGTTAACTGATCGAACATAAATTTAACGACTAATTAACCAAAATTTGTTGGTTTAGTCGTTTAATTGGTTAAAACCGATTAATGAACACCCTAATTGCTCTTATTTTAATCACTCTAATGTTTTTATAAATAATTTTTATGACATGAAATTTATCATTATTATTTTACTAATATATAATTAAAAAATGAAAATATAAATTTGAAAGTTAGAATGATTAAATTAGGAGTAATTTGAAAGTTAAATAATTAAATTAAAAAAATTTAAACTTTAATAACCAAAATAGAAGTGAGAAGATAGTTGAGTGATGAATGATGTAATTTACCCATAAAAAATTGTTTACGTATCACTTTCAACTACGATGTACTATAACGAAAAAGAAAATAGACTATATGTATGATTTTGATTTGAAAATTTAGATATCAAAATAGACCAAAATCGATAGTTTAAGTATTAAATTTGTAATTTATCCTAATTATTTTAAGTAATTGAAGGATTACAAAAATATCATTCTTAATCTCCCCTTAACTACTGAACTATTGGATAACTCTTTTATAATTGAACTAATAATTGAATGACTTAAAATATATTGTTCTCATTTTGAAAATATTTTTTATTTAGCAAAAGATTGTACACGTGAGCACCTAGAACAATCATCTAAACGCGTGTACCAGCCACATAGCAACACGTGTAGTTCCAGTTGACACGTGTCATAAAGCTAAAAGCCCATAGTAATCTCACCAAAGGTGACGACCCCATAAAAACCCCCCATCACGCCACTGCTCAACACTGTAAACTTCCATTGCCGAAACCAATCAATTAGTAATATTGCATCGAAGAAAGCAAAACCAATTCCCAAATTCTCAATCCCTGCTTTACTATTCGATAGGTTTGAACAAGATCCTAAAATGGTGGGTGTTGGGGTTCCGATCTGCGTTCAGTGCGGCACCGCCAGCAACCCTTGCCGGTGCAAGGTTGTTGGACCAACGGTGGGATTTCTGGCGTTTGCTGCGGCGGCGATTGTGGAGTGGCCTGTGGGGGCTTTCGTTTATTGCTTCAAGCACGGCAAGGGCCGCCGTATCATGGCTCATCCGGCCACGGTTGTTTACCCTTCCGTCACTAACGCCATCCCCATTTAATATAGTGATTTTAATTCACATAATATAAGATTACCAGTGAGAATAAGATTATCGGTAGAAATAAAATTACTAGTAATACTGTATTTTATGTTTAATTCGTTTAGCAGGAATGTAAGATTACAATATTTGGTGGTTAAACGAATAAAAGATTATTTAAATATATATTTTATTAAATAGTCTTTATTATATATTTATTTTTTTAACAAGTTGAATTATATTATAATATTATTATAATTAATTTATATATATTTTTTTTAAAAATTTTAAATTCATAAAATTTATATTTTTTTATAAAATTAAAAAGATAAATATATTTAATAAAAAGTTAAAATTTTATTTTAACCTCTAAAATTTATATAAAATTTTAATTATGGATTTTTTTTATAAATCTAAAATAGTTTAAGGATAAATTTATAATTTAAATTTCGTAGATTTTTTATTATTCAACGACAGAAAAAGGATATTTTTGAAAAAAAAATTAAGGGCATTTTAATCTAACAATATCTAATGGAAGAGATAATTACATTTCCGGTAATATACCCTCAATATACCACTGTCGGGAATAAAAGATTACCGAGAAATATGATTACTGGCCAACTAAACAGGGGAATGACATTTCATTCTCTTAGTAATCCCATATTACCTGAACCAAACACCCCCTAAATGTATTCTTGTATGTCGCTTTATAATTTATAATGTTAGAATAATATAGTTTCTATTTACTTAATTTTTTATTAAGCTAAAGTATAATTTAAATAGATTATAAAAGTATTGCATGTCCTAAATAATTTTAATTATTTAATAACGAATGCTCTATAATTCATATTATGGTTTTTGGTATTAGAACATTTAATCATTCATGTTGTAGTTGTTGATATTTTAACCCGTAATTTTAAAGAATTGTACGAACCAATAACTAGATTGGTTCATGTTTCTCTTGACGTATTTAGTTTCTTTTTTACGTAATATTTTCAATAATTTAAAACAGATACACAAACATTTAAGATACTATCCTTGATAATTCACACACAAACCACATTCGACTCTTCTTCCGTCTCCAACAGTAGAGGTGTCTTCAGGTCCTTTCTTTCCATATCAGCCTCTTGACGAAGCTTTTCTTCTTTTATTTGTCCCCACATCACAGTGTAGTATCCCACTCCAATTATTAATGTTCCCGTTGCACTGTAAAAAATATTTCATCAGATTGATATCGAATTCTTTAAGCAAAAATGTATAAGAGGATTTTATAATTAAAAATATTGTATAAGAGGTTCTTATATTTTAAAATAAAATCAATGTGGTCCTCATATTATTTTTTCTTTTAATATAGTCTTTCAACTCAAAAAATAAATCTAATATAATCTTTTGATTAACATCATGTTCGAGTTATCAATTTAGTTCATTTGTCATATCATATATCATATTATTAATTATTATGAATTATTACATCAATATCATGGTTCAGTATAGTGAACTGTGACATCAATACTGTAACGATCAACAACGAAAAATATTAGTCGAAGGTCACATTAAATTTATTGATAATTTTATTGAGGATCACATTAAGAAAAAAATAATACTTTAATTTTTTTTCTTTTATCATTTTATCTGTTCGACTAAAACTTGGACAGAGGAGAGTCAATTACCTTCCATAATGAAGGCTGTTGGTAAAGAAGCTAACACCAAGAACTGTGGCGAAGACTATCTCGAATGGCTTAAACATGGGCACATAAAAAGGGCCTTTCATTCGTGTGCATGCTAAATGAACGTTGCTACGGATAATGCTCCCAAACACCCCCTACAAAAATAATCACTATTATTAAGAGAAAATAACTTCAGTGACCGAAAATGCCTTATAATATACGATTTTAACCAACTTTTTTTGGATTTGCGAAAATGACCAACAAAATCGCAACGTGATCTCAAATTCGCAACGCGAAGTCCAATTTCGCAACACAGGTTCCAAATTCGCAACACGAATAGTTAAATCGCAACGATAATATGTAAATCGCAACGCGAAAATGTAAATCGCAACGCGAAAATGTAAATCGCAACGATAATATGTAAATCGCAACGCGACTAGGTAAATTGCAACGATAATATGTAAATCGTAATGTGAATTTATGTTTTATAACACAAGTTTCCTTTTCGCAACAAGATTTTCTAAAGAGAAAATAACTTCATTGACCGAAAATGTCTTATAATATACGATTTTAACCAACTTTTTTTAGATTTACGAAAATGACTAACAAATTCGCAACTCGAACTCCAATTTCGCAACACAGGTTCCAAAATCGCAACGCGAAAGTCAAAATCGCATCGCAAATAGTAAATCGCAACGATAATATGTAAATCACAACGCAAATTCTCCAAATTCGCAACTCGAATTTCGCAATGCTAATTACAGATGTAGGTAATTAGCGTTGCGAAAACGAAATTCGCGTTGTGATTTTCCAAATTCGCAACGCAAATAGGTAAATCGCAACGATAATATGTAAATTGCAACGCGAATTCTCCAAATTCGCAACTCGAATTTCGCAACGCTAATTACCGATTAGCGTTGCGAAAACGAAATTTGCCTCCGTTTTTGCAACGCTAATTACCTATATCGGTAATTGGCGTTGCGAAAATGAAATTCGAGTTGCGATTTTAGAGAATCGCGTTGCGAAAATGAAATTCGCGTTGTGATTTTTCAAATTCGCAACGTGAAAGTCAAATTCACAACGCGAACAGTTAAATCGCAACGATAATATGTAATTCGCAACGCGAATAGGTAAATCGCAACGATAATATGTAAATCACAACGCAAATTCTCCAAATTCGCAACTCGAATTTCACAACGCCAATTACCGATATAGGCAATTAGCATTGCGAAAATGAAATTCGCGTTTCGAAAACGAAAATCGCGTTGCGATAGTACTGTTTACCTTAGAGTTGTGAATTTGACTTCTGTATTGCGATTTACATATTCGCGTTGCGATTTTGGAACCTGTGTTGCGAAATTGGAGTTCGCGTTGCGAATTGGTTGATCATTTTCACAAATTCAAAAAGAGTTGGTTAAAATCGCATATTATAAGGTATTTTCGGTCACTGAAGTTATTTTCTCTGTTATTAATCATAATTAATTAGTTAATTAAATCGTTTGCACTAGCAGATTTTCGGGTTTTATTTGTGCTTACTGTCAAAACAACGAGAAGGAGCTCCAGTTTGTGTTTCAGTTTCCAAGCATTCAAGTCTCTTTCCATGCACAGAGTGAAACCAGACACTGGATTGTCCCAACTAAGCTATAAAACGATGCCACTTTCGTCGCTTGTGGGTATAGTTTAACAGTCTCAAGCTGAGCAAGAAAAAAAATAACATTAAAGAACGATAAAATGAAGCCAAAGCCATCTAGTTTTTCATCTGGTCACCTGAATGACATTCCATGATGAAACAGATAAAGATGCAGCCATTAGCAGAACACCACCCATAATCCAACGATCTGGTGCCGAGTAGAACACAAAGAGTTTGGGCACATGGTTAACTCTGTAATCGTTGCCGTGGAAGAAGAAGGATTTTCGTATAAATGGCCCTTTGTATAGCTCTACTACGAGGGCTCCGATGATCGAAACCAAGGTGCCGATCACTTTGGCTTGGCTGCCGGTGCTACCTAAATCGGGCTTTGTCGTCCTACGTGATAATCATGCATGTATTGTTATTATCACGAGTTTTTCCCCATTTTTTTCTGAACTGAAATAGATTAAACGAAGAAGAAGAAGATGGGTTTGGGAAGATGTAGAACCTGAGAAAGATGGAAAGCAAGAAGGAAAGAGATGGGATTAGGAGACCAGTTGCACATACAACGATGGGTGAACTATAGCTTAATCCGACGAATGCAAAGTTCTGTGATATAGCTATCCTACACAAATCAAACACCACAAAAGAAGAAGAAATCTATCTTTTTTCATCTCAAAGAGGTTGAAACAAGCAAGATGATGAGAGAAGAGAACCGACCCTGTTAAACCCAGTAAAAATATACGCACGAGGAGCGGGAAGCTGAAGATGGACTGCTCTGTTCTGCAATAACAAAGAAACAAAGATAAAGAAATGGAAGAGTACGCAAAAAGAGACAGATAAAGGAGATTGCAGCCTTGCGGGAACCTTTCCCTGTGAAAAAGAAAGGAGAAAGGGAGTAGCAAAAGAGAGCCAACAGCATTGGTGTAAACTACAAACACAAAAGGGCTCATTCCGCCTGTCATCGCTGTTTTGGCCAAAATGGTGAGTGCTATGGTGCAAGCTTCCATTATCACCATCACCGTAAACGGTGCCATTTCACCGACTCTTTCTCTCATCATCACGACCCTTTTCTCCCCCCCCCCCGCTGTTCGGCCGATGAATGGAAACGAAGAGCGACGACGACAAGACAAGTTGTTTCGCCACGGACCTCTCCTTGGCATCGTGCTGGCGTGTAAATGTGGGGTTTTTATAAAAAAAAGATCCAGAAAGAGTCCTGTTTTGTGAGAAGACAGCTATGGAGATTAGCCTTTCAAATGAGGGTGAAGCTGCTTGGGAGTGAAAAAGCGGCTCGAGTGACTGACTCTAGCTCCAACCAGAGGGGGGTGGGGGATGTTGACGTACCATTCATATTTGTATGCTTCATTTCTTTAAGTTACTGTTACAATATCTACACTTGGTGGATGAAAATTCCATCGATTCAAATATGAGGAATAATTATCGGATGAACTTGGCTCACCGCGTTATTTAGTGTCTCAATTAATAAGATTGGTCTATCTCATATTTTTTTAGATGAATATTTATTTCTTTCCTATATGTAAATAAAGAGTGAATAGCTATTTAGAAGTTGCTTTGAATGGATGAATTTTATTGGTTAAGACCATAGATGATGCGGTGAGTCGGGTCCATCAAATAATTTTTTCGAATCGAGTGAATAGTAATAATTAAATTTAGGATGTTGATTTGGTGAGTCTCATATTATAAAAAATTATAAAATAGTCTCTCGATTATGAGATGTTATGTCGAGTTGTATAGTCGTTTGAGATTTTGAGATCAAATTTTATCATATATTAGTCAACATGTAACGTCCAACTTAGACGATCAATAAC